CCTAAACCCTAAACCCTCTTCAAACCCTGGTAGGTCACCTTCCACGACCAGAGGGGCGGTCGGCTCTACAGCGCAAGGGTCTCTGCCCGCTCCACGTCACCCAAGGAGATCGTGGTGTAAGGCACTGGGGGACCGGCGGGGCGTTCGGGGTTTTTAGGCTTTCGAGTTTTTGGGGGTTTGGACTCAGCTTCCCTACTTCGGGCCTGGCCTGGCTCAAGGCCTTCATGGAGAGCGCCATAGCATTGGCAGCTGTCCTCAGTGCCACGGCTCTCGATCTCTTGCATAGTACTAGTCCATGTGTGTTTGTTTCTCGGCGTGCCGCGCTTTCTGTCTCGAACCGAAGTGTGCAGCAGCGTCCTTGACGTAACCGAAGTGTGCAGCAGCGTCCTTGACGTGAGTAGCTAAAGTCCATGGAGAGATTCCTTCATCGACGATGGGATGGGCGGATCCTAGATGTGAACGAATTTCAGGTGGCCAAAGCTCTGCTGGCCGGAGAAACGGAGCTCCTGAGCCAGGAGGTCGATTCCGGGGAACACCTCTTTGACTTGTGCTGTCGCTTCGACCACGAAAGCACGGCTGCAGCCATGATTTCATACCGTGTGCCAGGGTGCGTTTTCAAGGGTCCGCACAGCTTGCGGCCTCCTCCTGCTGTTGAACCACAAGCAGACTTCGAAGATTTCGGTGCTGTGTTTGATAAGGTGTGCAAGTGTGTGGGTTGGAATACATGCAGAGGCTGCAGCTGGGGTATGTCAGACGAGGAGAGGGGTCTTTGGATGGAGGATTGGGATGCAAGTCTCCAGGGGGCCAAACGCGCCGCGGAAAGCTCCGCTGCAAAGCCATTGGTTCGCACGTTGCTGGAGGCCTTTCGCTCCCAGGCGTCTGTTGACGGAATCGCCACGGCTGAAGCCATGGCTTACCTTCTCGATGTTGCCATCCTCATCGGGGATGCCGAACTGGCGAGATGCTGCGCCAAGCACTGCACCCGTTTGCCGCTAAGGCGCTGGAGAGGCGAGGAGCTTGTGAGGATTGTTCGAGATCTCCCGGTGTGGATCTTTGGAGATGACTTCTCTCTTCGATTTGAGATTCAGGAGAAAGACGTCCTGATTGCCGCTCTGGCCGCCGGCCTGGAGCTCGCGCATCTGAACACTGGGAGGTGCATCGGAGCGGAGGAGACCGTCATGTCGCTGGCGGAAGCCATCGTACTTTCCGCAGACGCTGAGCTCTGGTGCCGAGTCGAAGGCCTTCTGCAGCTCGGGCCATGGCCAGCGCATGAAGTTTATAACAGAACGGCCGAGTTTCTCCTCGATCGCTCCGGCGGCCAAGTCAGGCTGAGCTCGGAGCGCCTGCATCGGGCCGAGAGGGCCGGTCTCGCGCTGAGCTCGTTTCAGGCGTGGGTTCCCGTCGTCTGTCGGGCATGTGGCGAAGACGTTCTTCATCCCAAGGTCTCCTTGCTGGACTTGGCGATCCTTCTTGGACAGAGCGACTGTGCCCGACTCTGTGGGCCGATGGACATCGAGGCGACAGAGTGGAAGCTGTCGGCGAGCCTTGAAGCGATGCTGGTGTGGGGGAAGACCGTGTGCTCTTCGTGTGAAGCCTACACCTTGTATGGATTTCCAGATGCCTGGGCCGAGAGCATCGCATCGCTCCCGGAGCGCCAGGCGGCAGCAGCCGAGGCGCTTCGCACGGCCCTGCAGGCATCCCGCCGAAAAGCCGCAAGCTCTGCAGGCTTCGGGCTCTTCCAGGCCATGCGATCCTGGGCTCGCGGGAAGTTGGTGCCGATGGCTTTGGTAAACATGGTGTTGACATTCGCAGCGGAGCGGCCATCACTGCTGCAGGCTCTCCAGAAACGTGAGGGGGAGCTTCCGCCCTTGGGCCACTGGTGGGCTGAGTCGGAGCACAGAGCCCAGCCGGTGGTGGAGGATACCGAGACACATGCACGAATTGAGAGTCTGGGTGTCGAAGAATGGCAGCCTGCAGGCACTGCTGCCTCTTCCAGCAACGACATGCAGGCACAGCCTGACGGCACAAGCGAGAAGCAAACCGGCTCCGACCAGGACACCACAAACGATCTCCTCACGGCCCTCCGCAACAGCAAGAGTGACAATCCGCCTTTCAGTGGCGATGGCATCCCAATGATAAGTCGGGGGGTTCATGAATCCGGGGGTTTTTACCGTGAAGACGCCGCTTGCACTTTGAAGTCGTGAGTTCTTAATCCGAGAGCCCTGCGGCTCAGGGCCGAATAGCCCCTAAAGCCAGGGGAAGGCAGCATGTCCCAGGCCTTTTTCGAGTTTATGTTCAGTCCTTCAGGCGTTTCGGGCTGAGGCTTTTTATGCCAATAAGTCTTGAGGGATAAGAGGAGGTTGATAAGTAGTATCACCACTACAACCCGAGCGCAAATCTGTGATCGCGAGGTTAGGCCCAAATCCTAGCTAAGCCCTTGCCCCACAAAGCCACAAATCAGTCATGGGCCCCAAACCAAACCGCCCTGAGCCCTAAAGATCGCGGCTTTTTCCCCACGCCTGGAAGGTCGGTCGTTCCGGCAGCCTGGTAGCAGGAGGAAGGCAGGTTTCTGCGGGCTTGGGCCCTAAGCCCTACACCCGAAACCCCTAAACCCCTAAACCCCTAAACCCCTAAACCCCTAAACCCTTAAACCCTAAACCCTAAACCCTAAAAACCCCAGAGGCCCTAGACCTGAAACCCAAAATCCTCAACCCTAGGAGCAAAACCCAGCAGCCGAAGTTCGGAGTTTGGGGGACGGCAGTCGACTTGATCTAGGGGGCCCTTAATAGTTAGAATAGGGCTTTTGGGGGGTATACTCTACTAGAATAAAAATTAGGAATCCTCCCCCGAAATAGTTTTGGTAAGTATTAAAGGCTCCTATATTCGAACTGCAACGTGAACGAAGCTCCGAACCCATCAGAGGGCCCGAGCAAGGGCTCCAATTGAAGACCCCGGAGGCCCAACAACCCCCTTTTTCTAAGGGCTATGGCCTAGATCATAATCAAGGCTCCTATACTCAGTTAAGGGCCATGAGCGTTGTAAATCGTAACAAAAAAGGTCCCTTGACTCAATGAAGGGCTGTTCTAGGCCCTAGGCTCTCGAGCGACCCCTGTCCAAATAGTAGGGATGAGATGGCAGGACTATGAGCCCTCTCCCCAGCCCTTAACCTGAGGCCTACATCCCCGAACCCTCAACTCAACCTACGGCCCCTCGAAGCCTCATTCCTTATTGTAATTACAGTATAATCTACCTAAACCCTAAACCTTAGTAGTTAGAATAGGGTTTGGGGCTCATTCGTGCACTCCACGTCGCGGAGGCCTCTCGGCCGCCTGTGCAGCCACGCGGAGCTTCCGGGGCATGGGCTGGTGGGGGACAAACTTCGAGGAAGCAGAGGGGTTAGGGTTTATAGGGTTTATAGGGTCTATAAACGGTTTATAGGGTTTAGGGTTTAGGGGACCCTGAAAACCCCCAAGAAGTCGACATCCCAAAAGGACCTTAGGAAAGAACTTTGGACCTCAGGGGGGTTCCTGATCAAGGTGTATTTATTGTGATAAGAAGAAAAACAAGCAAAGATATGGCCACTCATGTTATTTAAATATTTCAGCAACAATTAGTATTCATGGTACTAATCATAATGTAGTTCCTTGGGTTTCGGCTATCAAAGTTTTGAGGTTCAGGGCTTCAGGGCTTACGGCTTGGGGTTATAAGGTTTAGTGTCTAAGGCTTTGAGGTTCAAGCTGTCCTGGCAGCCCTCAGTGTTCAGACAGCCGTGCCCCCAGCAGTGGGGTTTAGGGTTGAACGACTCTCTTCCCGCCAAGCGGGATTCGCTGCCTCGCACTTGGCGAAACGGCTTCGGAGAAAAGCGGCCATGTAAATTTAGGGGGCCTAAATCACATAGCAGTATGTGCTCCCAGGGTTCCAGAACATACTTTTATCATAGTATACCTCACAGCCCTAGTCTAATTATTCATCTCAGCGGCCTCCCCACAACCGGCTATATAAGGGCCTGAAACTCAGGCCCTGATAAGCCCTAAACCTTACACCCTATGACGGCCAGTTGTGGGGAGAGCTGAGAGAGACACAAGACGCCTTGGAGTTTCCCAGATCTTCCAAAATCCCTGAATTGGGGAACATGTGTCGTGAATTATCGTCGGACCCCGATATGATGAAAGGTACATCCTTAAAAATAATAGTCGGATCCTTAATGTGATTTGAGGTATGTTCCTCAATTTAAGGGATATTGGAAGATCTAGGTTCGTTGTCTTCATCCGTAAAGGAGCATTTAGCCATGCTTTGGGGTGGTAAGACTTCACTTCTTTCCGGAACCCCAAATCCTCATCCTGAGGCCCCCATCACCCTAAAGTCCCAAGAAATTCCGAGTGAGATCGCCGATCTTGTCATCCCTCGCTGGAGGAGCGATACGCTCGCCCCGCAGGATCGTCAGACCGGCTCTGCGGCAAGTCCAAGTCCAACATAGAAGCTGTAATCAGCTCAAAAGCACACAGATCCTTACGAGCTCTTTCTTATGAAACCCTAAACCCTAAACCCCAAAAACCCTAAACCCTAAACCCGAAACCCTAAACCCCTAAACCCCCTAAGCCCCAAAAACCTAAACCCCTAAACCCCCTAAACCCCAAAAACCCTAGACCCCTAAACCCCAAAACCTCAAAAACCCTAAACCCCAAAAACCCTAAACCCTAAACCCTAAACCCCAAAAACCCTAAACCCTAAACCCTAAATCCTAACCCCATGGACACTATGCAACCCTTC